AGAATACAGATAGGAAAATCAAGTCAAGAAGAGGTGGCAAAACCTAAAAAGCAAAAGATTGTGTAAGGCATGCCATGCCTAAAAAAAAACACATAATGAAGTACAAAACAAAAACAAGTAAACAGTCGCAACATTTTGTTTTCCTGATTTGAGTTTAAAATACATTTTTTTGAACTCTTTTAAGAGTGTAATCTAGGATCACGGTTTAAGTTAACTAGCAGCAACATCTTGCTTATTTGATTTTAAAATGTATTTACAAACTCTGTTAGCTTTAAGAATTTGAATCATATCTAGAGCCAGAATTGTTGCCAACTTGAGACTGGGAGGAAGATCATTTACACCAACAGTCTGCTGGTTTGATTTTAAAATGTATGCACAAACTATTCTAAGAATTAGACTTAACGAATCGTATCTTAAAAAACTAATGAGAATTTCAAACCAGCATTTTTTTCCCACTTTAATCTTGAGGATCATAGTTTGTCTTATCAGCGGCAACATTCTGGAGTACCATGAGATTCTCAACCTTGGCATACCTTTGTCACAGATAAGACAGCCAGGTCCTGTGTGTGTGTGTCCCCACTGCGGCTGAGGTCAGGCCCAAACGACCCGGGGACAAAGACAAACATGGTGACAGAGGGAGAGACCGACAAAAAGAAACAACCCCAGGGGCAGGTGAGGGTTGAAGTGTGGAGAGCTGGAGACGTGCTGATTATCATCAATGCAGTGATATGCCCCAGGTGATCGGGCAACCTTGGTGAATTTTTCATCGAGGCCCATTTTTGTTAGATATACAGCTTTGATCTATAAATTTCTTGAATTTAACGGTAACCCCCTTTTGGGTATTAAGCCCTGTGTAAGGGTAACAGTGCCCCTCTTCATCAACATAGGTTTTTTTTAATAGATTTTGAAAATCAAAAAAATAGGTTTTATAGGATTCCAAGTGCCAAAATAAAGCCATTTGCATGTATGCTTTTAGGGTGCAAAACTTAGGAATTTCTCTACCCTGTTGTGGAAATGCTTAACTTGCCATACAAATTTAGTACATGCATTATGTGAATCTGAAATTAAATTTTAATTAAAGCAAGTCCGACAATCCTGGCATTTTGATCTATGTTTAATCACTTAAAAAAAAACCAAATTTAAATGCATGTTAATTTTTGTGTGAATTCTGGCAAAGAAAAACCCTTCTATACAAAAAATATGCTCTGGATGTTGTAATTTTTTTACTGCTTTATGCACGTCCTAAGAAATCTTGCACTGTTAGTGTTACTTTGAGGAAGTTAACCAGATATCAGTTGTTGAATACTTACAATACATTCTGGAGAATAAAAAAAGCCAGCATGACTGATTTCTTGCCAAGAAAAAAAAAGTCAGGTGAGGAGGCTTGGTTATCAATCTAATTCCGCTTCCTCTCGGATTGCTGTATGACTTATGTGTGCAGCAGGAAGACTTGTTTCCAGCATTAGGGTTCATACATCCTAGCGGTCAAACGACATCTAGCGGTCTACCGACTTTTTTTTTTCTTCTACCAGTCATTAACCCTCGATTACTGTTACTTCAGGAAACGCTAATACTCGCCAAGTGCAGAGATAACTTCCAATAGAAAACAACCAGTCAATATGTTTTTCCTATACTCAGGGAAAAAAGGTCTCATTTGTCAGAAGAAAATTTGCTTAAAGGCAGGATCATTTGCATTTATCCCAAAAGTCACCAAATAATTATCAAAAAAGCTTATTTTGGATTAGAGATTGTACTGGTACTAAACAATCAGTGAAATTATTCTGTCTGGCTTGCTGTTAGTTAAACGAAATCAAGAAATGTAGGTGATTTCCAACGATCAGTCAATTGACTGATTTTTTGGAAAATGAGGAGAGCTATGGAAAATCAATTAAGTGAAAGGGTGTAAATTTTACTTTGGCTCTCTCACCTGGACATGCCGAATCTGGGTTAAGCATTGAATAGGCATCGAAGTCTGTGACATCACAGGTGAGAGTGGCCCAAGTAAAATGTACACCCTTTCACTTAATTGATTGTATTTCTGAATCTAGGGACCCAAATGGAACGTGGTAAAAAGGAGTGGATTAAGAAATAGTCAGGCTTTCATGTAATAAATAAATTCATTGAAGAAAAAACATTTAACAGTTTTAATTATTTGTTTTCTAAATGCTGCACTTTTTTGGGGTTACACTCTGAATGCCTTTAAAGAGTGAACATAGTGTTGCATGTTACTGTTTCACAACAGTCTATCTGAAAATATGGAAAGAACTGAACAAGCACAATTTTACACTCATTTCAATTGAGGAAAATAAACTTAACAGCGTTTTTTTCGGGGGGGGGGGGGGGGGGGGGGGGGGTTTCAATATATAGTGTCCCTCCTTCAGAAACAGGCCTGGCCTCATATATTCATTGTTATGCCATCATAAACATATCTGAACACCTCAACCTAATTTCAATCCTTTATGCCGCCACAAAATAAATATTTCCAAAATCTCTCTAAACCTCAACCCAATTTTTAGCATAGTTTTTATAACCTGTGCTGGAAAATTTATTAGAATTTTGGAAACTCAACCTAGTTTTCCCCAAAGAAAAAAAAAAGTCAACGGTAAGCACATCCCTGGATTTTTGGTACATGAATCATGACATCGCAGCGCACATTACCACGATCAAACATGACATGAATGATCACCCTGCATCGCAATTCATGTTCACGACTTAACACCTGTGAACTCAGGCGAGCGGGGCAAGGGTCCAAAGGGTTAATGTAACATGCCCTGCTTTGGAGGGAGAACACTAAAATAAACGTAGGGTTCCCGGGGTGAAAATACGGTGTGTTTTGGTGGAGAGGGGCCTACTACAGGGTGAGTCAAAAAAAGCGGAACCCAAACCCCCAAAATTATATTTCATATTTTTTAAAATATGGAGCACCAAACATAATAATGACTGAAAAGCCAATTTCATAAGCTACTTTTAGATGAAAAAAATACTGAAATTGCTCAATCCGTTCAAACAATATCACTATTTAAACACAATTACCCTAAAACCTCTTTCGTCCAAAAATGCGATTTCAAGAATCGTCGTGAGTAATTGTCTTCAAACATCACCAGCGTTAAAAATATTCAACATTATTCCTTTTGAAGGCCCGTCTTTTAAAAAAAGTGGATTTTATAAATCATATTGTTTGCCTAACCAGGGTTGCTAATAAAGATATTGTGTACTACAGTTGTTGACAGTTGTTGAAACAAGTATTCTGTGTCATTTTCTTTGTTGTTCCAAACAGTCAGAATACACAACAAAACTGGGGGGGGGGGGGGGGGGGTTGACGAACAGGTATTAGGGTTATTGCGTTTAAATGGTGATATTCTTTGAAAGGATTGAGCAATTTCAGTATTTTTTTTTTATCTAATAGTAGCTCATGAAATTGGCTTTCCAGTCATTATTATGTTTGGTGCTACATATTTTTTTTAATATGAAACATATCTTTTGGGGTTTGGGTTCCGCTTTTTTGGACTCACCCTGTAGAATGGCAAAATGGGCAACAGAATGGTAAATACTTCATTGGAATGATGATTATTTCCTACAAATGTAAACTGTTCTGTTTTACTTCAGTTTATGGATTTTGAGTAGCACCCCCTAGAACAAGGATACCGAACAATGGAGAACTTCCAACGTAGGGTTGGATAGCAATCCGGAACAGCAATCCGGAGGTTACTGGTTCAAACCCCGCTCTGGTCAATTTCTTTGTTCAACTTCAAAAAAATTACTTCAGTTTAGTTAGAAATGGTGTGGTAAAGAAGATGATCAGCTTATATGACCACAGGGTATCTTATTGTCGCTTTGGTTGACTGTCATCGCTAATTTAAACTTACATGATACATGTAGATGTAAAGGCCAGTTGTGGATTTTTTTTTCTATTTTTTTTTTCTCCCATATTTTGTGTATTGGGACTTTTGACAATTTGGACAATTCAAAATATAAAAACAAGATTGATTCAACTTTAATACATTTCTTAGTATGACTGCCTTGCATATTTAATATCTCAAAATTAGTCATGTTGTTGAAGAAAGATTTCGTGTCTCACAAAGGCTAGTTATACATTTCATGGTGTAAGTTATAAAAAAAAATATTCGGGAACTGGGAAACTTTTCAAAATTATTGGAAACCTTTTTTTAGAAGTGTATGGTTATGAAGACCAATACCTTGTATCTATAGATAAAAAAGTAAACCATGATAGTACAACTCGCAGTGTCCGCCCACAGCAAACACATTCTATTTTCCACCTGGCCCTCCCCCCCCCCCCTATTTCAGAGCAGGTCTATAGGCCAATCCTTGGGTCCTGATTAGTACATGTGTACTTGGCTTTTCCAAAGACAGCCTCATGAGTAATGGGGACAGGTGGGGTATATGACAGGGAGTGGGATGGGGGGGGGGGGGAGGTTGGATATGGGTGAATGATAGGGTATCAATAGGGGCTGGGCAGGCTGCGAATGACAAGTCATTGTTTGTGAATGTTCACTGGGCTTGGAAAATGAAACGCAGAAGTGCGGGAAATTGATGCGAATCACTGCGTTATGTTAATCAAGTACAAAACGGTGATAAATTATCGGTGTAAACTTTGGAATGAGGGGGTGAAGGAATGCGTGCAACTCAAATGACGTACACAGGTTTCAGAAGCTGAAGGAGAACAAAATAGGAGGAACATTTTAAAGGAAATGCGGTCTCGTTATAGAAAAAATGGAAAAATGTAGCTGAAAATGTAAGTCCTAGAAAAGATCAATGTTTTATGTTATGGGTGATTACATACATAGTTTGGTAAGCCAGAGAGTTATGACAATGGGCCCTAAACATGAAGACTGCTTCCCACCAACTTAATTTAGAAATCAACAATATAATGGATGGAACCAGTGTATATAAACCTGTTTTTTCGTCTTCTTCTTCTTCTTTTTTTTTGGGGGGGGGGGGGGGAATAACACTATGTTTAGAATTACTGTAGACAAACTTACCTTTCCGAAACGGGTAGCATACGACCCTGTGAGCAGCGAATGGAACACGATTATCGTTTCATCCAAGTCCCAAACGAACACTCGCTAAGGAAAAAGAAGTAAAAGACAGAAACAAACGAACATCGTAAGTAGGAATTTGTTCAATTTTTTTTTCTGGTAGTGAAACCACGACTATTCGCAGATTGAGGGCGCTATTTAATACAGTGTGTTGGAAATTCTGGGGGGATTGTATACACCATCCCCCTGCCCAAAAAGTGGAGGGGATATATCCCCCATCCCCCCCCCCCATTGTGGGCGGAGTTTGTGACCATATCTGGACTGGTCCATTCCTTTATTGATCACCTACCTCTAGTCCATCTTCCGGAGGCGGGGAGGGGTTGTTTCTCCGCCCCCTCCCTGTCCCACGATTCCTTGTGCTGCTTGCTTTGCTACCCTGTCTTCCTCTTCCATTGGCCTCGTCCAACTTGATGGATGAGTCTGTGGTGAAAGAACTTTCAACTGCAGGGGGGACAACAATCAAGAAACAAGAAATTGAACATCTTAAATACAGCAGAAGTATGTTTTTTCCATCTTAGACTTTGTTAGAGAAATTTGAAGCTGAAATATCTGGCCAGTACAGTTTGCTTATCAATCACCTACAGTCAAAGCATAGCTGTATCAAGTTGCATAAACAGTCACAGCCAGTCAATCCTGCTTTATGTAGGCTGAGAGCTCTTAACCGTTGAAAACAGTCACTTTATTGATTTTGACTGAAAGGACAACTTTGCACAGAATGTATGTTTGCATAGGAAGGCAACCAAAAACCCCCACCAAAATGTCTTTAAATTTATTGTTCGGGTAAATAAAAACTTTGACACTGCATCAAAGAGGCAAGTGAGAATAAGAATTATGACCCCAAAAAAGTTACTTTCAAATAATATTCTCGCAAACTTTAACTTTGACAGTTGACTATAAACGGAAATACTCGAAATTTCTTACTTTTTTTCGAAACAAGAGTAGAATGTATTTAACAGTGCAAAGTGGAACGATGCCCTGGTCAGGCCAGGCCAAATTGGTAGGAAGCATGACAGGAAAAGTCACAGTTGTAACACCTGTATACTATGTACGCTGATGACAAGCTTCACGGATGTCCTAACCACAGGGTTTCACCTCATGTGAACCTTTCTATGCTTCAGAGATGACATTGGGAAAAATGAACAATTTGCGAAATAATCGGCAGAGGGTGTGAGGGTCGCCAAGGGCCTCAGAACAATGTAGGGTCTGTGGTATGTGTTTGTATATGTCGAAAGGCAAGCCCTAAGATATCCAATTCTTTTGTTCTTTATGTACATGTATATAAACCTTTATAGGTATAGATACCTTAATCTAACTCCCATACTAGGAACCATACCCATCCTGGAAAATCCCCCCCCACAGAAGTGTGGTTGGGGTCTACGAACGAATACTTACCTGTAGAGCAACACTACTTATGCATATTCCCCCTACCGGCAGGTATTTTCGCTAAGAGTTATATACAATAGCGCCCTCCGGCGCCCTACCCATAACACCCCGCGGCATGCGTGCCTCGTGAGCGTCCTCTTTTCTCGAGCGCTAAGTCGGAATACAACCAAGTACCCAAGGCATCGAGAAGAGTGGGGTAGGAGGGAGGGATGCTCTACAGGTAAGTATTCGTTCGTAGACCCCAACCACACTTCTGTGGGGGGGGAGTCTACTTCACTCTACTTACCTGTAGAGCAACACTACTTATGCATAGACTAGCACCGTCAAGGAGGTGGGCCATGCGAGATGCTATTGCTTACTCACAGGGGCATGAAACATGGAATGTAACCCCAGATGGCTCCCACTGTTCCGTCCAAAGGCGGACAGGGGAAAAAACCAAGAACTGTACATGTAAAGGATATTAATTACCCTCACATGTTAATCGAGACGTCAGCCCTCGTTAGGGGGAACGTCTCATAATGTAAAGTATTATATAATAATAAATATAATATATAATACAGCTGAATCCTGCAAAGAAGAGTACTGTTAGTACACGACACTTCTTAAAGCAAGTTCTAAAACACTTCAAACCAAGCCCATGCACAAGGTAAACTGTATAAAAAGAAGGTAACTTGTCCAAGACCAATGACCTTATTACAAGAGTGTTTAGCTATACATTTATATTCAATACAATGTAATGTATAATGTAAATAGCCAGGATGAGGAGACTCACCTATTCTAGGGAAGCCCCGGGTAGGAGAGGATCCTGTGGACCTGATGATGCTCGGCTCGCCGCCTTCAGCACCACTCTCCCGGCTCTGCCTTCCGTCTGGAGGACATCCTTCAAATAGCACTCTGTAAAGGTGTTGGGGGTTTTCCAACACGCTGCCTGTGTGATATCTTTAATAGAAACACCCTTAAAAAAGGCCCAGGAAGTAGAAGCTGCCCTGACCTCATGTGCATGGACTGACCCAACGGAATCTGTTGTTGGTGAGTCTATTGCCGACTTGATGGCCGTAACCAACCAGCGGGAAATTGTATCACGCGAGGCCGGTCGGTATGGTGGAGTCGTTGTTATAAACAGCTGTGAATGGCCACTTCGGAGCGTTTTAGTTCTATCAACGTACCACTTCAGGGCTCTGACCGGACACCAAAGTCTGTCACCAGAGACAGACGAAAAGGATTTGATGTCCGGCACAAAAATGTCAGGAGGTGAAAATGATTCTGACTGATTTTTGGTCAGAAAACCTGTTTTAGGAACCAGGCGAACACCCCCTGGTTCCCACCGGATATGACCTGTCTCCACCGTAAGCGAATGCAGCTCGCTACGTCTTCTAGACGTAGCCACTGCTAATAGAAATGACACTTTAACCGACAGCTGCAACAAGGTTGAGCTGCCCATTGGTTCAAACGGGGGTCTCGATAAGGCTGATAAGACAGCAAAGAGATCCCACGATGGTAATAGCCTACGTGTCGGGGGGCGTGACACAAACATCCCCTTGATAAGTTGGCTAAGATTCTGATTATCTGACACCGAGGAACCGTCAGAGAAACCTCCATGAATAGCCGCTATAGCCGAACGATAATTCTTAACTGTGGCTGTAGCAAGATCACTGTCAAAGAGGCCTACTAGGAAGTCTGCAATCTCTCCTATAGAAGCATCGGAGGGACGCAGAGACCTGGCTCTACACCATTTGTAAAAATGGTGTAATCTACTGTTATAAATTTTCCTGGTAGACTCCCGCCGGCTGCAGGCTGCAATGGCCGCAGCTCGTTCAGAAAGGCCCGCCGTGCGGAAGGATTGCTTGATAATACCCAGCACGTCAGGTGGAGATCCTCCGGGGCCGGGTGAAGAAAACCCGAGCTGGGCTGGAACAGTATGTCTGCCCTCTTCGGAAGAATCACCGGGCGGTGAACCAAGAGCTTGATGAGTCTCGGGAACCAAGGTTGGCGTGGCCAAAATGGAGCTATGAGGAGGATCTTGCACTCCTCCTGTTCCACTTTGGTCAGTACTCGTGGTATGAGGGAGAACGGGGGAAAGGCGTACGCAAGTAGTCTGTCCCACCGTATTGCCAGTGCGTCTGTCTGCCATGCGCAAGGGTCGTTGTGTCTTGCGCAGTATACCGGTAACTGGTGGTTGTTTCGAGAGGCAAACAGGTCGACATGAGGCCGATCGATCAACCGAAAAAGTGATTGGACAACCTGCGGACGCAGTGTCCATTCCGTCGGAACGACCCACCCCCTGGAGAGAGCGTCGGCTGTGACGTTCTCCTCGCCTGGGAGATGAGTTGCCACGAGTGTTACTCCGTGGTCCATACACCAGTGGAAGAGATTCCACGTGAGCGCGCATAGTTGGGCGGATCGCGTGCCTCCCTGTCGATTGATGTAGGCCACTACTGTGGCATTGTCGCAACGAATGTTGACTACCTGGTTTGTCACTGATGCTTGAAAACGTTGGAGAGCATTGATGACTGCCAACATCTCCAGCACATTTATGTGCTTCAAGCACTCTTTGGGCCCCCACCGACCCGCCACTTGGCGCGGGTGGAGGGTGGCCCCCCAGCCAAAAAGTGACGCGTCTGTCGTGATGGTCACTGACGGCCTGGGATTGTGAAAAGCGCGCCCCTCCGTGAGATTGGCATTGTCGAGCCACCAACGGAGGTGCGGTATTAGCCAAGGTGTGGTCGGCACCAGATGACGTATGTGATGACGACTGGGCCGATAGAAGGACAGCAGATGTAATTGGATGGGACGCATCCTTAGTCTGCAAAAGTTCACCACATCTACCATACTGGCCATAAGACCGAGCAACCTTAGCCAGGCTTGCGCTGGGGCCATGGTCGTCGGGAGAAACAGAGACACACACTGTTGGAGATTTACAATTCGTTCCTCCGTAGGCCGAACCAATCCCCTCTGGAGATCGAGTGACGCTCCCAGAAAGATTGGGAATTGGGATGGATGTGGATGGGATTTCTCGGCGTTGATAATAAACCCGAGATCCGCCGCTAGATGCCAAGTCAGATTGAGTGCCGCCGACGTGGCCGTCTGAGATTGAGCAAGAATGATCCAATCGTCCAGATACATGAAGATCATCACACCTTGTTTTCTTAATGCGGCCCCGATTGTCTTCACCACACGCGTGAAGACTCGGGGTGAGGTGGCTAGACCAAACGGAAGAACCATGAACTCGTACTGGACGTTCTCGTACTGAAAACGAAGAAACTTCCAGTGGTCTGGTCTGACAGGAATGTGTAGATACGCATCTTTCAGATCGAGACTGGCTCCCCATGCAGGTGTACGAATCGATTGGAGTATGATGTTGAGCGTATCCATGCGAAAACGTCTTGGCCGAATAAATTTGTTGAGGGGTTTTAGATTTAAAATCGGGCGCCACATGCCGGCCTCCTTCTTGGGTACCAGAAAGAAGGTCGACATGAAGCCCGACCGCGTCTCCCCCGGAGGGAGCGGGCGAATTGCCCGTTTCCCGAGGAGGGAACTGATCTCCCCTTCGAGGGAGAGACGTTTGGTAGGATCGGACGGAACTACCGTCGGTCGAACGACCATGTCCGACGGGGGGGCGCTCGAGAACTCGAGTGCGTAGCCGCACCCGATCGTGTCGAGCACCCACCGGTCGGACGTAATTAAACCCCAGGACCCCGCAAAGTCTCGGAGACGGCCTCCCACGGGTCCGACGGCGGGAGGCCGCCACGAGTCTACTAAGTCACTTGCGCCAGCCCCCGGGATAGCGGGGGGCCGGTGCCCGGAAACCACGACCGGATTGGGGCCGTTGTTGTCCAGAGAACGTGCGGGCCTGCGTGGCGCGCGCACCGGAAGAATTGTCCGTGCGGCCACGAAAACCACCGCGACCAGATTTCAGAGGTTTGCGGCGGGGAATGACAAATGTTTTGCCCTTACCACGCTGTTGTTTGGGCGCTGGTGCTGGAGGCTTCTTGAAGTTGATTTTCTCCGTAGCCTTCAGACGTTTGGCCTCATCTCGCATCTGATCTTCGAATTTCCCA